AGCTTGTCTAGTAGCAGTTTTATTAGTTTTTGATAAGTGCAGAGTTGTAATAAGAACAGATAGCATATGTATAATCTTTGCAATTGAGAACTATCTTAGGAATAAGAAGACCATGAGTAGTTAAAGTCTAAAAACAATAATATTCTGTGAGCAATTAAGAAAGTTTGCAAAAGCAAATCAGTTCAGTTAATATTTGTTAAGGTCAAGAGTCATTCTGAAAATACATATAATAATGTAGCAGATATACTCACAAAGGAAGAAATATATGAAGCACATAGTATAGAACTGAATAATATCAGTAACAATAGCATAAAATATATTTCTAAATAGAAAGAGATAAGTCTAGAGATGCCATTAAGGACTTTTGTCAAAAAAATAATTCAAACAATATATAAGGCAGAGTAGATATAATTAAGGAAAAAAATAATAAAGAATACCAAACAAGAATTCAAAAACAGAATTAGAAAGCTTTTAAAGCTATACTTAAAAGCTGTTAAATATAGTACCAAAATTTAGAAATAAACTATCTACAATTGTTTAAAATCAAATACATTAAAAATCTCCTCCCAACTGTTGAAACCTTAAATCATAGAAAACTACAATTATACAAAAATAGCTTATGTAAGAGATATCTTAAGGAAAAAAAATAATTAGATATTTGATCGTATATGAAAAACAAAACAAATACTAGAAAGAATTGAAGAAAAAATATAGAGATAGCTCTACAAAGATAAAAGAAAAGAGAAAGATTAGAACTTATTAAATATATGACAAGCTATCTAATGTAAACAGATAAAGGAATAACAAAAGAGAAAAGAATAGATTAGAGGTATTCTTAGTGAAGAGAATGCTGAAAAAATCCAAATGGTTATTGGCTCTAAAAGTATGATGACTAAATTCTAGAGTCTGTTCTAGTATATTTGAATAGAATTAATCTATAAAGAAGTCTGGAAAAATCGATGCAAAGATATAGAAGTATAGGAGAAAAAAGAGAAAATTTCTAAAAAAAAAATATGCACAAAGAGAAAAATGAAAAACTGATTTAAAAGAAAATGCTACTGGGAAAAAAACAAACTGCAGAATAAATAAGAATGCAGAAAATTGTAATTTTAGTTTTAAATTAGTATTAGATAGTATAGCTAGAGAAGTAAAGAAAGAAATTTCAAATAGGTAGATTTAAAAGTTAGTTATAATGAGCTGTAGCATTCTTCCTATACTGTTGTAGGTTAGGGATTATAAACTACTCTAGTATAGAACAAAGGTTACTATAGCAGATTATATATAGATATCTATAGAATAACCAGATAAATTAGAACTTAAAAAATTAGATATTAGATAGTATAAAACTAAATAATATTGTTTTCTAAATATAAAACAAATCTAAATAAAGTTATAGCATAACTGCTAAATTTTTAAAAAAAATAATAATCTTTTCTGAGAATTATGTTAGGATTCCTTTAGTATTAAATAATTTTAAAAGTTTTTTATTTAAAAATTTTTATATGTAATTTATTACTATAATTAGTCTATAGTAAAAATAATAATATATTGATATTTTAATATATTTATAAAATATAATTTCTTTTTTAACAATATCTATGCTTTAAAGTAAAAATATAAAACAGTAATAGATATGAATATTTCTAAATATTATTATTTGATCTATTTTTTAACAAACTATCTCTTTTATAATTTATTTTTTTTAATACTTTCTTTACTTAAAAATTAAATATTATTAATAAATCACAGTATAATTAAAGTTAATTATTAAGTATATTTTATTAAAACTTTAATACTTTTATCATAATTTCAAATTTTTTACAAACATATAATTAAGTTTTTAGATTATTATAAAAAACAATAAGAAGTCTTACTATTTAAGAAAAAAATTTTAAGATCTAATTTTTTTTGCAATTCTTATTGTATTATCTGCAATAATTAAGCAATTATAATATATAGAGTTCATCAAATTTATTTTTTATATAATTCAGTACTAATCTAACAATAATTAGTAGATATTATCACATGACTTAGCAATATGTTATATTTTTGAACATAAATAATAAATATAAAAATAAAAACTTTTATTCTAAATCTTATATTATTAGAAATCATAAAACTTGTAGTATTTATTTTCTTTAGCTATTCATTCTTAGTTAATATATTTTTATCCAATAATAAGATAAACTAGTATTATCAATATTATCAATAGTCTATATTTGATTTTAAAGTATGTATGCATTATATATTGTATTATAATAAATTCTAAAACTAATATATATAATACTTAAAAATAGTGTGATACTATATTAAAATAAATATATTATTTACCTTGCCTCAAATATACAACTATAAAATATATTATATACTTCATTATATTGATATTATGTTTATTCTATAATAAAATATATAATTGGTAATAGTAAGTATTTTAACTAGTATATGAGTGCTATAAAGAGAAAACTCATAATTATTATTAAATAAAATTTTCAGAGTTTTTCCTTTGCAATACTCACAGATATATATACATAAAATCCTTAAATTATATTCAAAAAATCACATGTATAAATATCAGATTTGTGTTTTTGTTATTTTATAGTTAATATCTTTTTGAAGACATATAAAAAATGAAGCATGCATTGAATATACAGTACTAATACTAAGATCACTCAAATCATGAATTGTGAGTAATAATTATTAGATTATTTCTCTATATATTGCTAAGCTAATTCAAGCAAACTCTTGCTATAATTCATGATAAATCTCAATTGTAATTTGGATATTAGAATTATATCTTTAGTTGATATCTTAGCTATCATAAAACAAAAGCTATAAATATCAATATTTATATAAATTTATATAACTTCTAAAAAAACATAAAACATGACACTGTAAATATTGCCTTCTGAAACACTTTCATTTCTTTCTAGATAATCCTAGATCTGCAATATAAGATTGATTAGTCTTGAATAATTGTAAATATCAGATAAAATATCTTTAAGGATTTTCAGTTTAGCTTTCCAAGTAAGGATAAGCCACTGAGCATGCTGTGCAGAATTCTTGAGAGGCTACGAAGTGTGATTTCAAAATTCAGCTAGCTGGTATAATTCTGGCCAGCTAGCATAATTCTGTCCAACTGGAATAGAATTATAACTTTACTATATGTTATGAGCATTTCATGCACAAGCTGCGTAACCTGCGCAAAAAATTTGAAAAAAAAACGATTTGCTCATCACTAGTCTTTGTTATAATTTTTTTGTGCTAAAAATAGATTTATTATGATTTTTTTAATAAAATTCCTGTGTAACAATATCTCAGAGGGTCATTTTGATAACAAAAGTATCATATCTATTAATAATTCTTAAGTTTTTATTATCCAAATATATACGGATATCCGAATTATCCAGGTTAAAACGGATAACGAATAAGTAAATAGGCTATCCAGATGAGTTAAACGGATATCCGAATATTAACAATTTAAACGGATATGGATAACAGATAAGCAACTGCTTAACGGATAAGGACATGGGATATCCAGATAAGCTAAACGGATATTGTTACTATCGTAAATTGGGAAAGCGGGTAACGTTGCTGGTTTAGCTCTGATAGTTAACGTGATACTGGGTTTAATGATTTAATTACTATAAGGGTAAGTAATATCGATGGGTTATTTAAATTCGGGTCAATGGTTGTTAATCGGAAGGGATGATACTTTAAGGGTGGATCGGAATGATATGATTTCTATAAGGATGGCGTTACTATTAAATGTATTATAGTAAAACTAATAACTTAATCGTGATCTAAGCATTGATCACAATACTAATAATAATAAAAGAATCGTAATGTCCAAATAATTACTGATCCTATTTAACAATCTAAACAATGATACTACACGTGACGTTACTTCCTATATAACTCATTAAGAATACGGCTCTTAGTTACTCAGTAAAAGGTCTATTCGGCCTCAGTGCTTACTTCCTTTATGTTAATTAACAGATACGGCGTATACTTTAATAAATAATAAAAAAAACGTAGTGAGGAATCGATTATTTAATTAACGAAATTTATATATATATATTTGGGAACTTAAGGATTCGGGATTTTTAAGGTAATAGTGATTTATTTTATTAATTGTTAATAGATAACTTTAGTCGTAACTGGTTTTTTTGGAAAGGTAAAAAGAACCTATATTTATACATTTTCGTTCGTGAAGGCTATACTAAGTAAATTCTATATAACTATATTACTCAGGTCGTTATGAACAGTTGTTTATCCCTTCGTGAGCAGTTGTTTATTTCTTCGTGAGCAGTTGCTTCGCCTGTGATTAAACCATCCCAAGGTAACACGAAGCCACACTGCTCACATCACTAATCTACGGCCTATTCGATTATACGCCATAGCCCCAACTGCTCATGTTAATGTTTTACTCTTGCCTCAACTGCTCACATAATGTTTATGGGCGTAGCTACTACGGTTCTTAAACGTAAATAAGGGCATGAGCAGGACGAATTACAAATAAATAACTATATACTGAAATATAATAATATAAATAAATAGATAGATAATAAGAAAAATAATAAGAAAAAATAATAAACAAAAATTTAAGAAAACTCGTGATTTGAACCGGAACACCAATTTATATTCCAACAATATCCAGATTTATTTGGATCCAAGCACTATACGGCAGATGGCATTGAGAAATTTTTTAAATATTTTCACCACAGTGTTTCAAAATACCAATATGCCTAATAAAATTATTTGCACTTGCATTTGAACTTAAGTATCACATAAAATAATTGTTAATGATATTAAATTAACTATAATAAGTTGATTAAATAAAATATTAAAAATTGAATACGTTTATTTGATTAAAAATTAACACATTATACTAAAACCAATAACTCTATCTATATTAAATTATGTAAAAACTAGTGAAAGGTTATAAATCTATGCAACAAATAATATTTCTTAGAAAAAATAATTTAGCACGCATTGTAGATTTAGGCTTGTGGCACTCCATTTTTAGCATCAGTAACGCCGCCAAAAGCTTTACTAGAGTTAGAAATAGCGTCAAAAATAACACCAACGACTCCAGCAAAATATACTAAGTTAGGTTTTATCTTTTTTTTATCGTTAAGATTAATGGTAAATTTTTTATTACCAAAACGTACTTCCTATTTTTTTGTAAAAATTTGAAGAACAAAAATATATTATATATCATAACATTAATTTATCTAAAAAAAAAAAAAAAAGTTAGAAGATTAAATCTTACTTTTTTTCCAACAGTTATTAATTCACATTGATCATCAGTGCAAGTTCTTTCTCTGATAATTACAACAGCTTTTGCTAAAAAAAAAAAAAAAAAAAATATATATATATATATAAAATAAAAAATAAATAAATAAAAAATAAATAAAGAGAGAAAGAGAGAGAGAAATTTAGTAAAAAATCATTTATTAATTCAACGGAGAGCAATGTTAAATTTCTATCCTTAAATCGAGCTGATATTAACTGTCATGTTTTGGGGTTAGAATCTTCGCTCCTTAATTTAAAGGGCTGCCTATGATTCTATACACTTTGGTTACTAAGAAAGTACACCATACTCTCTTATATCAAAGTCTCATGCTATAATTCCAGCTTTCATCACATGCATACAACCTTGCATTACACTTTAACAATAATAAAAAAGCATTGTACATACTTTCAGGATCGATCTCCTTAACATCTTCCCAAGTAAGCGCGAAAGAATTTTCTGAAGCTTTTTTGGAAGTGACTTTGACTGGAATTGGCCCAATTTCCTTAGTTGACTTGGTTACAGCAGCATTAGTACAAAGGAACAAAAAGACGATGGAAAATAAGAAAGTAGTTGAGAATTTCATTTTGCTGATATTAAAAATTAAAGTTTTAATTTAAATGTTTTTTGTTAATTTGAGGAGTAAATTTAATAGTTGTTAGTAAAATGTGTTATCGATTTTATGAGTCTTACGCTCAAGATTTTACAAGATTTTATAGTTTTTTTTTTTTTTTTAATCTTATAAAAATGAACTATAATAAAATTAGAAATACTATAAATTAGTACAAATTCATAAAGAATTAAAACATTGATTATAGTACCATAAGTAGCTGCGCAACGCAGTTGCGCGAAACCAGGAATGGGGAAGTAATGAATACAGTGCTAGATATTTACTATGAAAAGATCTTTATGAGGGTATTTTTAATAAGCGCACTTCAGACATGCACATTGTAATTCTTTGATTTAGAATTGAAAATCAATTACGTATAGAAAAAGGATGTTTGTAATTTATCTTTAATATTAATAAGATTAATGTTAAACTATATAAAGAACTAAGAAAAATATTCTTTATAAATGCAAAAATGGGTAATTAAGGGCTATTTTAAATTTTAAGCTCATTTTACGAGATTAAAATTGCACGATTTTGTAATAAAATTTATAATATGAAAACAATTAACCATATCGATATGGGATCTTTGCTAGGAAAATCACCCTTCGGGATTTTCCGAACGGGCCAATTCGGAAAGACTTAGACCAGAACA